AAGTAGTCTCTTCGTAATTTGTTAAATTCAATCAATCAGTTACTACAAAAGATGAATAAAGAGGGAGTTACATATACACCATTAAAATTTATTTGATATAACGAACGATTTTCAATGATTTAAGCGCAGAATTTTGTAGGATATCTATAATGGAGTCAATGTGGTTTGAAATCAAATGGGTTGATTTCCATATTATATGAAGTGCACTCTAGAAAAGTTTATTAAGATAATAGATCCAACATGTAAAATTCTCAATCTTAAGAGGCTTAGACGGGACTTTTCTTTATACTGTAGCAAATTCTTTATAAACATAATTGTCCTGAAATAATTAATCAGCACAAATTTTATAAATTTTTTGGATGATTAAATTGAGTATATCTTTGTATAAACGGAAAGCGATTCAGTCCGCATTTACTTTCTTCACAAAATCATAAGGCGAATCTGGCTAAAATATTAAGACTTCGTTGAATATAGCAGCATAGATCTCGTTGCCATTTCTTTTTAGTAACGTTGACCACAACTTTTTTATCGTAGGGTCATTCTCTCAAATATTAGCAGGTATTTGTGAGAAATTGGTGAATAAGCACAAAGCACAAAAAAAAGAGAAAGTATATAAATATTTCATTTTAATGTGCTTTATTGAAAAAAAAATGTAATTAATATAATGAACCTTCTAAATTATAAACTCGGATTCTAATTCTATTCAATTCCATACGTCGAGTACCTTGGTTATTTTTGAAATCAATGGAGCGAAATCTCTCAATAGCTGAGAAATATCCTACAGTATAACGGAACGCAGACCATAAAGTTGTTTAAACCTCACCTAGTCATATAATCACGTTTGGATCTCTTAGCTAAAAAGAAAAAAATACCTTATGCTTTACCTGAATCATCAAATAATTTTATGATATTTGTAGAAATTCAGAAAGCTGCAGAACATTCGTTGACCTTGTTTGTGGATGGGTTAAATTATTCCAGTTGATACTTTTATTATTTGTCGGAAATTAATTTTTGATTGAAATGATCGGCAGAATGTCACGTTACTGAAACTACCAATCAAAATCCTTCTCATTGTTTATAAAAGGTTGTGTTGCGTTATCTGGTTTACTCTTTTTTGTTTGTTCTTACACTTTACACTTTGGAGATAACTAGTGGAGTTATACCACTTAGCCTTTTTTTAACATTAATATCAGGTATTACTTTAAAATAGAAAATCACGTCATTTCAGTCATTCCTGATATTTTTAATTTCTTTCGATACGACAAAAGATTTTTTTTTTTTTTTCGAAAGATTGGGTTTCTTTTTTTTTCTTTTTTTGAGTTTGCATTTGAAGCAGGGAACACGGGTTGATTTACTATTTATCTTTTTTTTCTTTTCATTATCAAACTAATTTACTTAATGATAATCGCGCGTCGCAAAAATTGATGGATTGGACATTGCTTTTGAAAAACGAATAATATGTTATGTAAGTTAAATATAATATATAATTGATGTATATTCTAGATTATTAATTGTAATTGTGATTGAATTTTGAACTAATGTTGAATATTGGATTACAAAACAGGAAACACGGTTGTTATTATTTTCTTTTATTATATTTGAATGATAATGGCGCGTGATGGAGTTAGATGTTTGATATAATTCATATTGGATGGATATATTATTTGTGATTATATTTTCAAATTAACGTTAAATATTGGAATTAAAGCTGGGAACACGGTTTGATTGGTTTGATTCTTCATAATTATTGCTTTTTTTTTATTATAAGATTTATATACTTGAGTCGATTATTGATGGAGTATAATTGAAAAATGGTGTGGATTTATTTTTTTTTTACGGATGATTGGACTTTTAAGCTAACGTTGAATATTGGAATTTGAAGCAGGAAACACGGTTTGATTTATCATTATTATTGTTATCTTTTATTATAAATCCTTTACTAATCTATACTTGAACAATAATGGCGTGTTGATTGCATTGATTGAGTGTAATTTTCAATATTGGAGTTATAATTGGATGGATCTATGTATTATTGATTAATTTTTTAACATTCGTTCTTTATTGGAATTTTTAGTTTAAAACATGGACTAATATATTCTTGAATGATAATGGCGCGTCAATTACATTGATGGAGTAGAATTTTGATATAATTCATCATTGGATGGGTATATTATTGTGAATATTTTTCAAGTTAACGTTGAATATTGGAATTAAAGCTGGGAACGCGGTTGGTTGGTTTGATTCATCGTTATTATTGTTTCTTCATATACTTGAATAATAATGGCGCTTCGATTACATTTATTTAGTGGAATTTTACTATTGGAGTTATTGTTGATTAATTTGTTAGATAGATTTTGTAATTAATAATCGGATTTTATTAACGTTTATTATTGGAACTTGAAGCAGAAAAAATGGTTAAATATTTTGATGGATATTTTGAAAATTATTATTTAATTTGGGTGGGTACATGAGTAGAATTGAAAAAAGCGTACTATATGAATTTATGTTTATTGGATGATTATTAAATTGAAATATGATTGGACTTTTGAGTTAACGTTAAAATTGAATATGAATCAGAAAACTTGGAAAACTTGGGTTTGATTTAATCGTTATTATTGTTTTCTTTTATTATTAAGCCTTTACTAATATATACTTAAATTATAATGGCGCGTCGATTACATTGATGGAGTGGAATTTTACTATTTATTGGATTTATTGTTAATTAATTTATTATCGAATGGATTTATGTAATTTTTAATTGAATTAGTTTGGAATTTTATTAACGTTCAATGTTGAAATCTGAAGTAGTAAACATGGTTAATATATGCTTGAATGATAATGGCGCGACAATTACAATGTTGGAATTTGACTATTGTAGTCATGGATTTATGTAATTTATAAATTGGAAATGTGATTTGATTTTTATGTTAATATTGAACATTGGAATATGAAGCTGAAAACTTGGGTTTGATTTATCGTTTATTGTTCTCTTTTATTATAAATCCTTTACTAATCTATACTTGAATGATAATAGCGCGTCGATTACATTGATGGAGTGGAATTATACTATTATACTTATTGGATTTATTGTTGATTAATTTATCATTGAATGGAATTATGTAATTTTTAATTGAAATAGTTTGAATTTTATTAACGTTTAATATTGGAATCTGAAGTAGTAAACATGGTTTAATATATGTTTGAATTATAATGGCGCAATAATTACATTGTTGGAATTTGACTATTGTAGCTTATGTTGATCATGGATATATGTAATTTATAAATTGGAAATGTGATTTGATTTTTATGTTAATTATAAGCATTGGAATATGAAGCTGAAAACTTGGGTTTGATTTATCTTTTTATTGTTTTCTTTTATTATAAATCCTTTACTAATATATACTTGAATGTTAATGGCGCGTCGATTGCTTTGGTGGAGTGGAATTTTACTATTTATTGGATTTAATTTTAATTGAATTAGATTGGAATTTTATTAACGTTTAAGTTGAAATCTGAAGTAGTAAACATGGTTTAATATATACTCGAATAATAATGGCGCGACAATTACATTGTTGGAATTTTACTATTGTAGTTAATGTTGATCATCAGATGGATATATGTAATTTATTAATTGGAAAAGTGATTTTATGTTAATGTTGAACATTGGCATATGAAGCTGAAGAATTGGGTTTGATTTATCGTTTTTATTGTTCTCTTTTATTATAAAGCCTTTACTAATGTATACTTGAATGATAATAGCGCGTCTATTGGAGTTAATGTTATTCATTGGATGGATATACGTAATTTGTTAATTGGGAATGTGTTTCGATTGTTATGTTAACGTTGAATATAGAATATGAAACAGAAAACAGGTTTGATTTATTTTTATTATTGTTTTCTTTTATTATTAAGCCTTTACTAATATATGGTTGAATGATAATGGCGCGTCGATTGCATTGATGGAGTGTAATTTTACTGTTGGATTATCATTGGATGGATATATGTAATTATTAATTGGATTTGATTGGAATTTTAATCTGAAGTAGAAAACATGGTTTAAAATATGCTTGAATGAAAATAGCGCGTCAATTACACTGTTGGAGAGAATTATACTATTAGAGTTAACGTGGAATTTATTAATTAGAAATGTGATTCGATTTTTATGTTAATGTTGAATATTGGAATATGAAGCTGAAACTTGGGTTTGATTTATCATTTTTATTGTTCTCTTTTATTATTATGCCTTTACTAATATATACTTGAATAATAATGTCGTGTCGATTACATTGATGGAGTGGAATTTTACTATTGGATAAATTGTTGATTAATTTATCATTGGAAGGAGTTAAATTTTTATTAATTGGATTAGTTTGGAATTTTATTAACGTTTAATATTGAAATATTGAGTAGAAAACATGGTTTAAAATATGCTTAAATGATAATAGCGCGTCAATTACATTGTTGGAGTGGAATTTTACTATTGTAGTTAATGTTGATCATCAGATGGATTGGATATATGTAATTTATTAATTGGAAATGTGATTCGATTTTTATGTTAATGTTAAATATTGGAATATGAAGCTGAAAACTTGGGTTTGATTTATCATTTTTATTGTTTTCTTTTATTATTATGCCTTTACTAATATATATTTGAATAATAATGTCGCGTCGATTACATTGGAGTGGAATTTACTATTGGATTTATTGTTGATTAATTTATCATTGGAAGGTGTTAAATATTATTAATTAGATTTGATTGGAATTTTATTAGCGTTTAATATTGAATCTGAAGTAGAATATATGGTTTAAAATATGCTTAATTTACTATTGGAGTTAATGTGGATCTCGGATGGATATATATAATTTATAAATTGGAAATGTAATTTGATTTTTATGTTAATGTTGAACATTGGAATATAAAGCTGAAAACTTGGGTTTAAATTATCGTTTTTATTGTTTCTTTAATCATTAAACCTTTACTAATATATGCTTGAATGATAATGGCGCGTCGATTACATTGGAGTGGAATTTTACTATTGGAAAATGTAATTTATTAATTGGGAATGTGTTTCGATTTTTATGTTAAAGTTTAATATTAGAATTTGAAACAGAAAACGGGTTTGATAATCTTTATTATTGTTTTCTTTTATTATTAAGCATTTACTAATTTATGCTTGAATGTTAATGGCGCGTCGATTACATTGATGGAATGGAATTTTAATATTAGTGTTTTGTTGGAGAATATAATTGAATTGGGTACATAAGTGGAATTGAGAAATGATTATTAAGTTTAAATATGATTGGACTTTTGAGTTAACGAATATTGAAATAATTACGAAGCAGAAAAATGGGTTAGGTTTGATTATCGTTATTTACTTTTATCAGCGCTTACCGTTACTAAAAATTGAATCATAATGGCATGTCGAAAACATTGATTGTGTATTCATTCTGTTATGGTGAGTTCGTGTTATTTTATTTATTTCCTCTTTAAATATTACATTAATATTATATATTGCACATACCTTTCATTTAATAATTAGCTTATATATTGTTGGTTAAATAATATCATGGAGATAGAAATTTCGAGTGGTTATAGTGGACATACATTATAACATTAATTTTTGTTTATTTGCTCAAATAATTCATTTCAATATCAATGATTATTCAATAATTATTTTGAATGATATTTTTGAATTTCAAGATACATTAATATTTATGAATGAGATATTCGTTATGAAAATATTTTGAGCTAAAAATAATTGTGTTTATTATATTTTATTTATAAATAATTGTAATTCGTATTTATGAAATTAATTTACAGTATAATCTACAAAATTAAATTAATCAATCAAATTTGCCTTTGTACGAAACTATAATAATCGAAATTGTTGATATTTAAAATTAGGGTTTTGAATTTGCTACTCGCATTTCTAAAATGAGTTTTGCCCCGCATCTATATTATATGAACTGGTTCAAATTTTGATAATTTTTCAATTAAAATTTCTAATTTCATTCTCATTTAAGTAATAATCTATTTCATTTTTCATTTAAAAGCTTGAAATTTTAATAAACATTTAAGATGATACAATTTTTATCACCAAACTTGCCAAAAGTGAAACTAATGATCGTGAACAAAATTGCATATCTTGTAATTGATCTTTTTGTAAAACTTCTTTCAAACCCTGTTATTACATTATATGTCAATTATTGGAATGTACACGTTATTCATTGATGTGGCTCGTGCAATTTAATGTGATGTTACCTGTCTGCTTGATTTTTATGTATGATAAGCTAAGGATAGAATCATAATTTTCCCTGCGCAAAATATAATTTTTTACTGTAGTATTCAATTTTTAAATAAATAATAATAATTATGAAAAAAAAAGGATTCTGTAACAAATCATCCATTGATGTTGCAACTTACTGAAAATTGTGTACAAGTAGAAAGATTATAATTATTTTCCATTTTGAAAGGTTTATCATCATCAGTGTTCAGCTATACCATCTGAACTGTTGGTGACTCCGTTTGCTTTTTTATGAAGATATACAATAAATGCGCTAATTCTTTTGTAAGTCGTTTGATTTCCTGTTTATCTCTTTTGAAGCATATTTCTCTAAATAAATTGAACATTATTCCACCAAGTGATTGCGTAACCATGCGATGCAACCGTGTTCATTCAGAGGAGGATGGACAACGTTCAAGAACTTCTTTAAAATGCCTCGTGATGGGCCATAATACACTTATGACTTGTAATCCTTCATTTGGTATTAAAATGCTTCAATGGAATGAATTGGCCGTATTTTTTGCAAAATCTATTTATAGGTATTATACTCGTTCCTTTGTGTTTACTTCTAATAATCTTGATTTATCTGGAACGTCGAATTTTACCGAGGTTTAAGCTATTTTATTGTAAAGGTCATCGATATTCCGATTACTTAAATCGATTAAATCAAGTAATCAAGTAGTTCGTAAATAATTCTGTAAAATAATAATTTTTTTATTTTGACATACGTTTCATTGGGATGACAGATGGACTAAACTATCTATATGTCCCTATGAAAATTTACTATTGATCGATTTTTATAACCTTGATATTAAAATGATCTTTATAAGTTTCCTAATAAATTGATGTATTTTCGCACTTCCATAACTTTGAATTCTTCTTTGATTTTTCTTTCAAAATACTGTGAAAATGTTCCAATAAATTTCTTTTTCATGTGACACCTTTTTTTCTTCTAAAAAAAAGATTCACAATTTGGAAATAATAAAGAACTACTTTTAGAACTATCTTTCTATGAAAAAATTTTTTTCTTGGGTGTTTCAAAAAAAAGCGATCTATACCATTATTCTTAAAGTTGTTATGTATCTATTTATGCTTTTAATATTACCCAAATATTATAAAAGAACAAGTTATCGAATTTTGAAAACTTGGGATTTTTTTAATGGAAACGAAATAAATTCTCAATTTGGCGTCATACTAATTGATGATAAAAATAGTAAATTTTCATAGGGATTACATATAGTTTTGATTTAATCAGTTCATCTGCCACCCGTTTCATGATGATATTCAATCGCTTTTTGTAATTCTACTAAAATAATTAATAATACGTAATTAAGACATATGCATAAACAAAACTTATACTTGATTCTTGGTATTAAAGAAGCCAGATTAAGTATCTTTTTACAATTTCATAAATATAGTTAATTTTAAATTATTTAGCTAAATTATGATTTAATTTCGCGGCATTTATTTATTAAATTTTGTAGAATTAAATTTTCAATATTTTTTTAATGTTATTTTATTTTTTACTTTCTCTTTTTTAATGTTTTTTATTTCTTTTATTTATTTAGGATTTTATATCACATTCGGGCTGCTTCTTAATGTAGGTTTTTTTCTTTCTTTTTTTCTTTCTTTTTTTTCGATTTTTTTTTTTTATTTTTTTTATTTATTTTTTTAATTTTTTAACTTTTTCTTAATTTCGATTTTATTTTTATTCAGTTTTTCGGCAAATAAGTAAGTTTTTTTTTAAGTGTTTTTTTAGTTTTATTTTATTTCTTTTATTTTCATGCAAGATTTTCGACCGCATCGGGTGCTGCGTCAGTTAAATAAGTGAATTTATTCATTTTTTTTCATTTATTTTTTTTCAGGTTTTTTTAATAAAAGCATTTCCTAATTATTACATATTAACTTACAGAGAATGACATTTTAATAAAGTTCTTTGTTCCATAAGGATGATTATTGAACGGGCATTTGGATATGTAAAGGGACCGTGAAGAATTCTATTAAAAGAAATTATTGTACTGATAAAGAATTAATTGTTAAAATAATACATGCGTGTTGTATTTTGCATAATTTATGTATTGATACAGGCATGATATGAATGACGATGAATATGAGGAAGGATGAAGAAATAGTAGGTGCTTAGAAAAGAGAATATTTAGCAAATATTCTTATTAAAACTTTTATTATTATTTGCTTTATATTAATTTATAATCAATAAATACTAGCTTATTTATTCTTATACAATTATTATAATTTTTAAATAATGATTAAAATTTCTTTAAAAACATCTTAAAAATCTCAATTTGTTCATCATGCTGTTTTTGCTGAATTTCAGAAGCATGAGTGTATTGATCTTTCATAATTTCAGTAATTGTTTCGGTTTGTTCTTTAATAAGAGCTTGAATTTTTTCTATTTTTTTCTTTTTAGAATGTTTGCTTTTTGGTATTCCATTAAATAATTTTAGTTAATATGTAATAGATAATTAATCAATAAATAAATTGTTACCTTTCTTCTTGATCATCATCAACACTTTTATGCACTTTACGCTTAATCCCATGAATTAAATCACTGTAATAGGCGCAACAACACTTGGATCTTCTCTTAAATAATTATCTATATTATGAAAATATACAATCATTTTAAGCGGTTTCTACACCAGTACTTTCGATTTTATCCTTTATATCTGAAAAAGTGCCCCTATTTCTGCTGAATTGATGATTCTTTGTAATTGTTTGCTTTTTCGTTTAAAGAGTCTGTAAAAAGTTGTATATTTATTTTCGAAACGCATTCCCCACGAGAAAGTTAAAGCCAAACTATGTTACGTATTGTATAAACTTTCGATATGGTTATTCATTTCAATATTACGGTACTGTCAAAACTTAAGGATTTATCCACAAGGTTTTTCAACTGTTCACTAAGCTATTAATTGCTGAATATGGAAGATAAATTTCCTAATAAATAATTGCTGCAATAAAAAACTAATAAGCTTATGTACGGAGTTAAGTCAACAATTAAGTTATGCAATCTAAGATTTTTAAAACAATTTTTATTATCAAAATACACTTTTGTAGTTAGTTATCACAAGCAAACTTATATGGAGACACAAAGAAGTTTCAAAGTGTAAATAAATAGAATTAACAAGTCCAATCCCAAGTATTTTATCAATAACTCTAACAACCAAGACGAATTACACAAATATAATGAATAAAAAAATATATCAACCATTTTAATATAAGAGATAAATAAATATAATAATTAAAATGGGTATAATAAATTCGTTTGATAAATTTGATATAATTAATATATCGATATTTTAAATATTTTTTCACAGCTAAGGGTTACGTGACTCTACACCCAGGTTTTTGACATATTATCCCCAACTTATACAGCGACCTCCAAATTTTTCCTGGTTACTTTTTTTATAGCTAAAAGCTTTAGGCTTTATGCTTTAGCAATCAGTTAATGGACAGTGGTTTAATTTATAGTAAATTTTTAATTTTAGTTAGCTTTTCGGTATCTGGGCGAAACTACGAATTGGGTGGGTAAGATGTAAATACTTATCCAGTTCGTAGCTGCGCCTCGATACCAAAATTACAGCTGTCGCAACCCCTTGTCTCTCTTATCAATAGTCCATTAATTTTCTATGTGGTTCAAGTCGGAATGTTTAACCAGAAATTTCTTAGCTATATATATCGTATGAATAGGATCGTTATCTTGCTGAAGGCACAAAATGTGACAACTTCATTATTTTAGGAATATGCTTCCCTATGCTTTCATCTTAAGACTGGTATTTGTCCCGATTACAAAATCCACCTCATACGATGATCCTTTTGTATACGAAAATATAAACGTTGCACAGTTTTACTTCAAAAAAAAAATTGTGCGATCCCAGACATTCTAACACTTTTGTTAGTGCAACCTAGTAATCATTAGGGGCTAATTGTCATGATCAAAGCCAATTAACTGCCGAAGTATCATATTCTATTGCAATAATTTGGATCTATCTATCTAGAAGAACTGCAGGATTTCTTCTAAATATACCGTCCAAGTGCTGTAGACCTCTGAGGTGATTTCTGAGATGACGGAAAGTTGTTTGTGAACGGTAATTCTGGTTTTTTTTATCATTGCTTTGTTATAACATATTTTGAACCTTGATATAATGGAAATATTGAATGGATTGTTCTTATTGCTATTCAATTTAAAAATTAATAAAAAATAAAATGATGATGTTACAGTAATTTATTAAATAGTTGATTTACAATACACCTACTTAACAGTTAATCCCAAAGCAACGACCCTCGCATTATAACAGCCCTGTCATATATACTTATATATGGTGGCAATCAGCATTTACTCGCAAAAAATTTCTCTGTCCTAAGAATACTTAGTAAAATTGAAGTAATGGTCGAATTTCATCGTTAATTTTTGTTATTTTAGAACATTAGCACAAATACCTTTGTTTCTGCATAAACTTTTTACAGGAAGAAAGTAAATGAAGTAAATGGAAAATATATATTCTATAGATTCAAATTGGAATTAAAGATCTGTAAACTTGAGGGTGCCGATAATTAATGCTTTATAAATTAATATAATATTTTATTGAATTTTTAACATAAACATGTATAAAGATTTAATTAAATATTTGGATGTATATGAAATTTGTATTCTTTTATCAACAGAAAAGTTATCTAATTAAGAATTTAGGTGTTTTTATTACTTTTTTTTTTTTTTTATTCTTTTTTAGGATTTCAATCTCAACTCTGTGCTTTGCTTTTTTTTTTGCTTTATTTTTTTCATTTTTGTTATTTTGTTTTTTTAAACTATTTTTTATATTTTCTCGTTTTCGTGCGATCTTTATTCGTGCAACTTTTTTTTATTTTAATTTTTTTATATATTTCTTTTTTTTCTTTCGTTGCTTTTGTTGTTTTCTTTTGTTTTATATATTTTTTTTTTATTTTTCATTTTTTCGTTTCGTTTTTTTCGTTCGTTATTTTTTATTTTTTATTTTTTTTTATTTCACTTTTATATCATTATTAAAATGTAATGTTAAATTTGTTTCTTTATTAGCATTAAATTCATTAGGATCCTTTTAGGCTTGACTCGCTTGAAAATACGCGGTGTGTGCTTTTTGTATGTATAGATTTTTGGTTTCATATTTTTTTTTTAATTTTGTAAATTTATTTATTGAAAAAAAAATAAAATAAAATTTTTGTTTTTTTAGTTTTTATATTGCTATCGCGATTCTATTTATTTTTCTAATTTCGGCGATTTGTCTTTAATAAATAATTTCTATTTTAGGTTCAAACGGACCCATCCGGTTCGCACCGCGGCGAAGATGAACTGATTATTAATTTATTTTTTTATTTATTTTTTTTTTCATTTTGTTTAGATCAATCAGTTCCCTCTTAGGCCAAGAACCGGTTGGAACTTTCAGATGGTTAAACAAATTGGAAAATAAAAATGCTTTAAGTGAATATAGAGATTTAACAAGATTTAACAGAGCAGTACATTGGAAGTTAGGAGCAAATGTATGCTTCATATAAATTTGCTGCTTATAGTAAAGTTAAGGTGGAAAAGGCAGACTATGCTAATTACAGTTGGAAAATGATTTAAAAAGTGAAATATGTCACTCTATGACTACGAACTGTTAATATTGATGAAAATTCGTTTCCTGGAAATGAAATTCTTTAAGGAACCGTTGCAAAAAAATTTTCAATGTACTTCGATATTTGGAATACTTAAAAATAACTATGGAATTTTTTTCGTCAATAATTTCTTTTTACTAATTTAGATCACTTTACTTACACATAATACCTTGAAATTGTATATTTATATTTGCAGTCTTAAAGCACTGTTCTTTAGGAAAGAGACTATTACATCTTTGTTAGATTAAATACTTCGAATTATTCTAGATTTCTAGCTTATCTTTTTATATTTTTTTTTATATGATCTAATAAATAAAACAAAATTTAAATTGCGAAAATTCTTTATGTAATATGAATGAATACATTGAGAAAGAGCTCGGTATGAGCAGTCATTACTATTTAAGTTAAATTAATTTTGCTATATCTATGAATTAATCTCGACCAATGAAATAATATATTTTTTACGTAAGTGAAAGTTCTTTTGATTCTTTCGATGATATCGTTGTTAATAATAGGTTGAAGATTCATGGAAATTTCTTATGCAGTCAATTACTTATTTTTATTATTAAAAAAAGGAAATTCCACTGTAACAGTATATCAAATGGCATGTCTTTAGTAGTATTATTTCTTGCTGTTAAACCACACATTCATGTCATTCCGTTAAGTCAATGACTTGAATTTTTTTACGAATTTATTATTTACATCATTGGTATTGATAATAAATCGAACAAGTGTCAAATGAGATTCAAACAAACTTTCAAATTTATTTAACTTAATTATTTCATATAATGTGTAATTATCAATGGAAATGTAACATTTTTCTCATAATTTTAATAAATGCATGCGTAATGACTTTACCAATTTAGATAAATAACGCTTTTATTTTGTAGTTGCGATAGAAAAATTTCATTTTATGTAAAAAATTTGTTGAGTTATAAAAGTCTAGATCGTGGCTACTTTAATAAGTTAGGTATTTCTTTATTCTGGAATCTGATGATTTCATGGCTTTTAGATGCTTTCCCTTGTGGTCGATGTTGGATATTTCGTGACAATTAAACTCCTTATTTTACTGAAAGGCTTCTACTGCTTCCACTATGAAGACAAATATCTCAGTTATGATAATGTCAAAATACTTATTAGTCTTAACTACACAGCCTTTTTTCACCCTATTTTTTAGTTAATAAGTTTGTCGCTTTCACGAGAAATCAAACCGATTGCAAGAGAGATATCCGCAATAATTAGTAAAATCCAAAATTGCAACAATGAATTAATACGGGTTCACAGTAATTTTCAATTGTGATGAGGAATCAGTTAAGCCATCTTGTTCTTATGACATTCTCTTTCATTGATTTGTTTATTCTTACTAGCGACGTGTAAAAGTAACTATGGTAAAAATTAATTATGATGCAGAATTATTAGAGATTGAATTTGCTGTTAGCTCAATTACAAAATTGATTTTATAATACAATTTTCATAAATAACTTGACTCCTTGACGTGGAAGAATTTAGTTGATTAAACCAAAATATTGTAACTGGATTCAAAGTAGTGCTCCGAAATGGTCGGGTCAGACCCGGGTGATCGACCCGACCCGGATTTAAATCGAGTCAGGATTGGTAATTTTGATGACCCGTGACCCGCATGACCCGACCCGTCGGGTTAGGGTCGTACTGTTGCTTTGACCCAGAAAAATTTGGGTGACCCGAGATGACGTTATGATGATGCGTATTTTTTCCCACACGAAAAAGTTTTTTTCACTAAATTTTATGCGTATTTTTCCGAAAAGTTTTTTTTTACGTGCTAAATTTTAACTTTGTTTGTGGCTTATATACGTGAAAATATAAATATGCCCGAAAATATTGACCTTATTGAACCAGTATCTCAACTTGGAAACGAAAAAGTTTGCGTAGTGAGCTCTTTATTAATAATCTCTTTGAGGAGAAAGACCTTCCATCAGAGCATAAAAGTGCGAAAACACACCGTGAAGTTAGGTGTCTTAACTGTCCGTTTAGTAGCAACAAAAAGAAGCAGCCTTAAAACACATACTATTCGTGCGTGTATGTGTTTGAAATGTTGGTGGACATAAATATAACCAAAAAAAATGGGTAATTTAGAAAAAAAAGATCAAAAAAAAGATTGAAATGTTTTTTCTTGTTTACAAATCACGAGTAAAATTGATCAAGAATCTGCTTGCATGAAAGTGATTTAGACTGGTCAATTTTAATTGAATAAATAAAAATACATTATTAAAGTGTAACTTGTCAATTAATTTTACTATTGTTTTGCCGAACATAATAAAATTCATATAAATTCGGTTATTCGAGTTAAATTACAGTCAAGTTCGGGTTACATAGTTGACCGACCCGAAAATTCGAGTCGAGTTACATGAATATTCGAGTCGAGTTCGAACATTCCCTCAAACCAGACCCAACCCTACCCGTACGGAGCACTATTTCAAAGAAATATTTTAATGCAAGCATTCTAAAGGATAAAGAACAAAATTTTAACCTTAATTATCGTGGAAGTATAGATAGATTTATAATGTTCACAAATCCAAATAATTTTTATCATCGTGAAATACATGTACTTAAACCTAAACATTAATAGTCGCATGACTTTCTTTCTTATACGTGTGAAAAAATAAATGAGATATTAAATCATACACTTTGAAATTAAGAAATTCTTGTAAAACGTATTTCACAACATTCGATACGATCTATCTCATGAAAAATGTTTATTACATCAAGCAAGAAATTTTACAAATTTAAATCGGTCGATACAATTTGTTTCCAAAAATTAAAAATTTGCCAAGGATGGGATTGAAATAAGTGCCGCGGAATACGATATCTACAAAGCTGGATCCAGTTTATCCCGAATAGACAAAGGAAATTTAATAGAAAGTGGGGTATACATGAAAAAAAGTTCTATAATTCTCAATTAATAAATTTCATAAAACGTCAGTTCTTATATACTGTACATTTTCATTATCGAATGAATCGTACGGCGCAGTGCTATAGTAAACGCATATTTTGAATGCAGATGTTGATCTTATCTAAAAATGACAAAAATAATAGTAGAAATTCTGCTCAGATATGTCTTGTGTAATATGAGTAAAATATAAATATGGCGTGAACATTCTTTCATAACTTTTTTTTTTAAAAATTAAACTTTATCATAAATATGGAACTTAGGATTGATATAGCTCCAAAATTAAAATCCAGCCCTGCACCAATTACGATTCTTCCTTTTACCTTATATGATAACAAATGTCATTGTGGAAATAAATACTCGGAAACAATTTTTTTTCACCAAAAATATTGTAAGAATTGTTTAACTGATTATGTTATTACAATTCCTGATGATAGTACGTATTTATATGTACTCATATGTGCCAATCATGTTCAATGTAATAGACATGATGCTAGAAATGCAGATTTTTGCACACAAAACATTCATGAATGGTGTGAATTTTGCTCTGATATTATATAGTTCAAACAAGTATATTCAGGAATATCCAACAAAGTGGATGATATAACAACTAGTTATAAAAATAATTCAGATTGTAAAATATGTGGAAAATTAGTTTACCAGGAGATACAGAAATATATCGACATGAAGATACAGTATGTTCGGATTGTTATCAAGTTACTTATGAATGGGTAAAATCGGCTTTAACCAATGAAGAAATTCCAATTCTTTTTTTACCATGGTGGGATCAAAGTAAAGCTGATTGTGTAAATTATGACAAAAAATTAAATTACGTATCTGATTGTTTCAAATGTTGTGAATATTGCCAAATAACTTTCAATGGATGCAGATATTGTTTAACAACGAATGTAATTGGTGGAACTGTAAATCAAACTCAATGTAACAAATGCAAAAGAACAACGTCTATTTATATTGATACATCAAATATAAATGGTGTGGCACCATTTATAAGCAGTGGAAATAGTATTATAGATGAATTCATTCGCAATACATATCTTAATGGTCGGATTCAATTTTATAATAACATGAAAAGTATTGAGAATGATTCCATTCCAATTAGGATTGATAAATTTTATGAAGGTATATTTAAGTTTTCAATCTCAGTAATTAAATAGATCCCATTTTCTCAAATTACAAACTTTGAAAAAATAGGTGAAAGGGGATTTGGCATCATTTATAAAGCAAATTATTTAGGTGTTATACGAAATTTTAAAAATAATAATTCGTATATTGCTATAAAAAGGTTTATAAATTCAAAAGAAGTTATTAAATATTTCTTAAATGAGGTAAATATCCAATAAATTGTTACTTAATGTAATTTTATTCAATAACTAAAATAATCCAAATTATATTACTAGTTAAGTTCAAATCAAACTTTTCATGCAGATTGGTATAGTTGTATTATGAGATATATGGTATTACAAAAGATCCCAAAACAAATGATTATATGTTAGTAATGGATTATGCATCAAAAGGGGATTTACATCATTATTTACAAAGAAATTTTACAAAAATATCGTGGAAAAAATGTGGATTTGCGAATAAATTGAAAATTTTAAATAATATTGTATTTGAGTATATATACTTTACTTTATATATACTATTTTATGTATATTATTAATTTATAATACTAATTTATTTTTAAGTTAGACTTCAACATATTCATAGTAAAGATCTCATACATCAAGATATACATAGTGGAAATATCTTACTTTATTATACTTATTGGCAAATTGGAGATCTAGGATTATCACAACCTGCAAATAATACTCCATTAAATAAAGAAATTGAAATATATGGAGTAATACCTTATATTGCGCCAGAAATATTTAATGGTGCTTCATTTTCAAAAGCATCTGATGTTTATAGCTTGGCTATGATTATGTGGGAACTTACAACAGGTTGTAAACCTTTTGCTAATGTTGAACATGATCATCATCTCATTTATAGTATTATAGATGGAAATCGGCCTGAAATTACACAGGATACTCCTGAATGTTATGCTGATATAATGAAAAGTTGTTGGGATACTGATCCATTAAAAAGACCTTCTATACAAGAAGTTTATGATATTGTTAAGGATTGGTGTCTTAAGAATAAAAACGATACACAATTTGATAAAGCAGAGAAACGATTGGAATTAATAGTATCAAGGAAATTTGGTTCTGAATATACTGAAAAACATCCAAAGGCAATCTATTCAAGTAGAGCATTGAACTCTTTAATTTCTAAATCTTTATCTATGAATTCACTTACAAAACCACTTAAGTATCAAGGTAATTGTATTTTCTTATATCAATAATTCAATAAATGTTAATAAAAACATTCAATAAATTAATTATATATTAATATCCTTTTATTTAATGCCAGGATATATTTCGAAAGAACATGAATGTGATATAAATACTCAAAGGTAATTATTTTCTTAATAAATAATATATATGGTATTAAATTGTTTTAATTTGAATAATTCTAAATTTTACTTTATTTAGTTCACCTTTATCGAGTAATAATCCTATTTCACAATACCCGGAAGCAGGTAGAACATTAATATTTTATTAAAAATATATCAATAAAATTTAAGTTTTAATAATTAACACTTTTTTGTAATTTTGTTCATATAGAATATATTTCAAAAGTACTTGAATTTGATATTGCATGGTATTGTAATATATTAAGTAATATAATTTGTTTTAAAAATGCATGAATAGTTAATTTAAAGCTTGAGTAGGGATGGATCGGTCCTGATAAGACCGGTCTTAGACCGGTTAATGGGACCGGTCCTTGCGGTCCTCGGTCCAGTCCGGACCGGTCCTTTATTATTTATAACATATTATTTTAAATTTTATAAATACTAAATAAATTATTTTATTTATTAAATGCTACAAAATTAGAGTTGGATCGACCCGGTTTCATCCATAAGTCAGTCCTTTGGATCTGTCCTAATATTTTACTATAACGGTAATTTCCGAAATGGAAATATCGGAAATGGAAAAATAACGAGATTAAGAAGGCGCAGGAATCATTTCGTATGCAATTATTTTATTATACTTTTTTATTTATTTAAATTATACAATTATTTTATTAAATTGATCATTTTATATGTATATTTTTTCTAGTATGTTCTAAACCGATCCTTGAAACAGCCTTATAAATCGGTTTGTTTCGAGAGAAAATAAATCTTGGACCGGACCGGACTGGTAGGGGACCGAATGGTACAAGACCGGTCTTAGGACCGGTCCGGTCCAAAGAAAGATGAAAGACCGGTCTTTTTTGACCGGACCGGACCGGGCCGATCCAACCCTATGTATGATCATTCTTCTTAGTAATTAATCTCAGGGTTTAAACGTACTTATGAAGGTATATTTCAATTCCTAGTACCGAATGATGGAATTTGACAATGCCCAATTAAGATAAACTGGATCGTTAGATTTTGACAAATCAGGAATCTCTATACTAAGCATGTTATATTATATATAAGTAGATTGGTCCTAATCACGAGTTGCCAATGCAAGAAGATATCTAAGAATCGAGTTAGAATTTTTACAATGTTTCCTGTTTCAAATAATTGCATCTTGAAGCAAAAATCAATTATGGAAATGGCAACAATAAAGATCAAATTAGTACTGCATTTAACAAGTTACACAAGCAAATATTATTTACCAAATTTATTTTAAAGGCAAACCGAGAAAGTTTCGACGGGTGGTAAAACCCGACCAAAAATTTGATTTTCGTCGAAATTGTTATTCTAATTTCAGACACCCAAAGATAAAATTCCAACTTCAGACGAAAATCAATTTCAGTATAATTGATAGAATTATGTTGAATCTCTGTCTATGTCTAAAATAACTCTAAGTTTAATCTGTTAAAGCTCCTTGTAACCTTAGTATCTACGCATAGTTAAATATTTATTTTCCTATATTTATTCCACTAAAAGGCAAATATTAATACAAATATATATCCACTTAATAGCTTATAATCAGTTTAAAAGTGATACTTTATTAATTATTCATTATTCATATTTCTTGTTTGATAATATTAAACAATGATGTGGAAAAGTAATTATTAAAAAGTTTATAAAAGGATATATATTGTAACTATGCTATTAAGCTTATCTTAGAGTTTGGAATCAGTTGTATTTTTGAAAACTGAATTTAAAATGGGTGCAACCAGTTTGGCCCGTATCAAACCGGTTAACCGGTTGAAACTGGTTTATATTTATTATAAATAAATATGAAGTTTAGTCACAAAATGAAATCGTGGTTATTTTGATATTCTTATTAAAAAAAAAAAGAACTGAAAAATTAGTTCTCTATATTAAAAAAAATCTTTTCTTAAAAAATTGGTTTTTAAAAATTTAAAAGCTTTATCAATAAAAAGAAAATAAAATCGTTTTTTATTAAGAAATATATCTTTATTAAAAAGGATTATCTAATAACCTTCAAATTATCCGGCCAATCCACTTTTTTTATTAATAAAAAAAATCAAATTAAATTACATTAACTGTTAACGAAAAATCATTATTTAAATTGTATAAAATTCATTATTGTATTAATAAAAACCATTATATTCTATAGCAGAAAATAAACTATCCCATTGGATTTTATAATATTTGTTATAATGTTGCAATATTGCGCAGCTTTCAAAATTTATAACAAAATTTTACCACGATCTACATTTGAACCAGATCTGAACAGGTTCGGCTAATTATTTCACAACAAACTACATCACCAAAATAGTTCCTACGAATATATGAAAATAATTCATGAAATTCACACGGTATTTTAATCACCTCAGTTTTTATCCCAAAAACTTAAGTACTTTTTTTTTTGCTATTAAAATGACTGATTCTGAAACAATTCCACGATATGTGAGGATGATATAATCATACAAGATCAACACCAACCTGTTTCAACTTGGAAAAACCGCAGCCATATATCATTGGTTCTATTA